CCTGATTGCAAGGCAGGAGCTTATGCTGCTGAGCTAAATCTCCAGCCCCTCCAGGACATTTCTTAAACACACAGATTGTTCCTTGTACCTGGAAAGCTCATGTCTCAGATATCCACATAGCCAACTCATTCACCTCCTTTAGGTGTCTGCTCAAGGAAGCCTACCCTAGCCATTTGCTCACCTTGTTTGAGAGACAACTCCAGTGACTCCCTTTGAATCCAAAACAATTGCTGTGACTTTGATTACTTGGAGACTCATTTCCTTATACTGATATGTAAAACAGCTGGCTAGGATATTTCCTTCTCTCTTCAACTGGCTCTAACCATTGCAAATAAGGCTAACCGAGGTGCTAATGTGCAAAGTCTATAGCCATCAGACAGTCCTGTTTCCTTGCCATGTTCTCCACAATACAAGACTGAGCTGGCGAGATGTTAACTCCAGGAATGTCAACTGGATATGAACCTCAAGAGTTTGCATATCAGAAACTGAAGTGATAGTCTTCCAAAACAATTCCACTGCTACCCTAATTGGGTTATGTAAATTGATCCTTCTGGCTACCGATATCTCTGCAAATTACAGAGATGCCATGCTTGCACCTGGCCTACTAGCTGAAGTTACTCAGTAATCCCGACATCCTCACTATCACCCAGCCTTGAGCCACCCTCCTTTCTTCACAAGATAATAAATGCTGGGAAAGGCCTAGGATGGAGGCCTTTATCTGCATGTCTTCACGGGAATTGGACTTAGGACTCCTTGGCTGCCCTTAACTTGGTACATGTCTTGGTGTTTTCACTCTGGCTGTGGGTTGGATTAGTGATAGTAGATTGGAGTTAACTTGCTAGGATTCTAATGACATCTCGATGGGATTAAAAACCCATAACCTTTTGGATTGTGAGGAAAACTAGAAAGAGGATTACAATACTTGGGTGACTGAACTCGATATTTTGGTTTACAATAATCTTGTTTCTGAGTTTTCTTTTCCTTCTGTATTTGCCACTTTCTAACATGTTGTGCAATTTACCTACTTGCTGTGTTTATTTTTTCTCTCTCTCCCTGATAGAATGTGAAGTTATTGTATTCCTTTGTGTATCCTAAGCATCTATAATAGTGCTTGGCACATAGGAACACAGTACTAAGTATTTTTTTGAACAAAGGAATAAAGCATTTTGAGAATAAAAATTCTATATAGCGCTAAGGACTTAGCTAATTTACATGGGCCTAACAGCAAATGCAAGAGGAAAAGACAGAATCACAGAGGCAAAGGAATCTGTAATGTGTTTAAGCTTTTCCATTTTTATATATAAGTACTCTGACTTATAAAAAATACAGCCATTTTAAATATTTTCATTATTTTTTATTTTTAAAAAATGTATGGCTAAACATGAACATTTTAAGCCTCAATACACAAGGACTACAACATCCTCAAGTCTCTATATTAACCATCCATAAATATCAATAAATATCCAATATACTAGTAGTTTCAGCATAATACTAGATGACATGCAATTTGAACAAAGACAGCAAAAACTAGTAAACTCATTAGTCAAACAACAGCTAATCATTGAGAATCTCAAATTTTTTAACTTTTGTGATCATACGCAACAAATGCAATAAAAGAGTATAATAACTGAAAATATAAAATTATAAATAAAACCACATACAAAATAGTAACAAATACTATAAAAATACATGAGTAGTATATGAGAAGTACTTTTGTTTTCTCATAAATATGATTCTTGGCATGAATTCTGGCCAATCTATGTAAATTTTTTAAATGGTATGGCTGATTTCTTAAGTTTCTTGCTATAGGCAAACATAAAATCATTTATTTATATTTTTAAAATTGTAATGGTTTAAAGTTAATGCACACTTGGAACACAAAGATGATTTTTTTTGTTTGCTTGGGAGGAGGGCATCCATGGTGCACACAAGTCACCCAAAACTCAAAGATACAAAAAAGTAAAGTTCAGTGTTTTCTTAAATTTGGAATTATCTTGGCTTTCACAAGTTGCAATCATTGAATGGGACAAAATCTTCCCCAGTTTCTTTGGTGATCCTGAGCACGGAAATTTGGTCTAGCACCTTTTCTTTGTATATGGAATACTAAGCCAATAATCTGTCTTAAATCACACACACACACACACACACACACACACACACACACACACTGTAAACTGTCAATAGCATAAATACAGTAAGATTAAAAAATAAACATACTTTACACAAGAATGTAGACTGTTATTAATATAGCAAGTTTTGCTATTTAGGTTAACATTTACCTGCATGAAATATACTGTGAATTCTAAATTTTAAATACTAATGAAGTAAAACAGGGACTTTCTAGATTCTTTATATGAAGAACTGGGAGATACTACACACACTTCAACAATGGATTTTACCTATTTCACTTAGCTAATAATACTATACATCTTCATTGCCTAAGGTATAATGACGGGACAGCAGCAGGAAGAAGCCAGGAAATTTGAAAAGCAATGGGCAGGCTGGTTCAACTATGATTGTGTGTGTGCATGACTGTGCTGACCATACACACATACTTATGAACATTATTTTCATAAACAAAGACTGCCACTATAGCCTCACAAAAAAAGCATGTCCACCTCTACTTATCCAGAGTACCAGCTTCAAAAAGAGAAAGGCACAGTCCAGATATATTAAACCAAATATATGTCCCTCCCAAAAGGGTAAACTGGGAAACAGAAATGCTTACAGTGAACGTAGACATTAAATTTATTGACTAAGCACAATTTCAAGAGCAACAGTCTCATTTGCTGCAGTGGTTTAACTGCCATGGTTTAACGATCTGGTAGAACAGCAAACCACATTTAAACAGTCAAAGTTCAACTCCAACTTCGTTTTCTATTGATTTATTTTACTCAGTGAAGGATTACTTTACTGGGATATTCAATGAAAATGTTTTATTTTATAAATATATTGCAACAATTATATCATTTTAAAAATAAAATGAATATCTAAACTGTTTAAAGCAGGAAATACTGTTTAGAGGAAAAGTTTTATTTGTGTTTACTTTCTCTTTTTTTCCAGATGTTAGTTTATCTACAATATGGATTTATTCCAGAAATTGATCTATTGATCTATCTATCTATCTATCTATCTATCTATCTATCTATCTATCTATCTATCTTGGGTAGTGACTGAACTGCCAGTCATGGGGCTCAGGCCCTGATCATCTTATCTGTTTTAGTAGTGGACACAGTGTTTGGCCACTGTCTGGCACTTAGCACAGAATTTCCTGCTAAACACAGAAATTCCTACCACAAGAAAGGCTCTAGCTGTGCTGTCAAAAGAGGCTTTAGATGTTCAGGGCTTCCTATTGGTGTGCATGTAAAAATAAAAGTGAAATTTAGTGAAGCAATGATGATAGACACCACAAAAATGTAATACACACATATTCTTTTAAAGACACACTATATCATATGTTTGAGATATACACTGAAGTATTTATGAATGAAATTATATTATGTCTTGAATTTGCTTTGAAATATTACAGAAAAAGTGTAAGATAGGCAATAGGCACTTAGTGGTTTTTCATCTGTACTTTGAGTGGTATGAAAATTTTGACAATAATAATAATGACTTCAAATAAGTTTCAACAATAAAAATAGGGTAAAATATTTTTAAACTATGAAAACCACTATATAAGATGACTGAATACAAAGACTCTTATGAGCCTATTTACATGACTATTATGATAGTGAAGTTAGCAGCAACTTAAGTTTCAGTCAGTAGGGAATTAAATACAACATATCACAAACAACAGACTGCGACGGGAACATTCAGGGACATTTTTGCAAACATCCAGGAGACATTTTCAAGTGAGTAAGGATATTCAGGAGCAGCACAGAGAGGCAAATTCATTCTCACAGGAGTGAGCACGAGGGACACCCAGAGGAGTGTTCATCAGTGTTCAGATAGGTCAACCCTGCCAACGAGGAATTACAGGGAGTTTTTACTTTTCCTTGAAACCACTCGGTGTTACCCCAACTTTTCATAGTAGTAATTATTAATTTTATAATTAAAGAAACTATTTTCTGTAATGATAGTCTATAATTTTTTCACTGTTATTTTTTCTAGCTGTCAAAATGATTTAGTGTTAAAAACTGTCAAGTCTTACACAATTCTAAGAGAGTGCTACACTTCCAAAACAATATGAAATCTGGAATATATTTCGTTTATTTCTAAAAATGCAAATAATAATTTTTAAAGCACGTTTTTTCCTCAAACACCTACAGAGTGCATTGAAATGTAAAAATGTCAAAAAGTACATAAAACATAATATATTTAGGAATAGACTTAAATTCTTTTTAGTTAACTCAAATCAGGCTGAAAATTCTATTAGTTATGGGGAAAAAAAACAGCATTTGGAAGAGAAAAGAAGAAAATGTTTTCTAGTTGGTTCTTAAAGAATTTGAAAGTATCCCAAGACTTCTATGCAAAAAAAGTGGGTATTTTAGTAATATGTTTGTTCTTAGAATAGAACAAGTGGCAGCACGGAAAGAAATGTAATTTCCAGATGCATAATTCTGTGACTTCAGTGCCATGGACTTGACGTCAATTAAATTGCAAGTTTACATCTAACCAGCACTGAAGCACCTTGCATGTAGGTTTTAATTTAGAGATTAACCCCAAAAGCTCAGGTAAACTGTTAAGAGTATCTTTCTCTGGGTGTGCATCACAGAGAAAGATACTCTAATAGCTGTCACAGTCTTTCTTTCAGACAGCATACTGCTGATGCACTCACTTCCTAGTCTGCAACAGCCCCAGAACAGAAAGGGAGGGACCCTGAGGGGTTCTCTTATCCATTATTCATCCCTTTGTGAGGCCTTTATTGTATGTAGCACCTTATCTGAAAGGTGTCAAGGGAATTTAAAAGTAGGCCCTTTTTACCAGTGGCCTAAATATCCCTAAGTGTGGTAATTTCAGTTTGAATAACCTAAAGAAAAACAAATAAAAAGGTATCACCTTGTTACCTGGTGGAACTTCTCTTGTTCATGTCCATGTTCTAAGCTTTAAGAATGGTGTGAAATTTCTTAGATTTTGATTTATCCATGTCATGTATCTGTATCAGATTGAAAGAGTATTTTATTATAAATTAGTTATATAAATATGGTTATGCTCCAGTAGTTTCTTAATTATTATGTTTTCAAATGATTTGGAGCCTATCATTTAAATCTTATTTGGGAAATCTTAAAGGTCTAGTTAGCATATCATGGACATCCCCAGATGTAAAAAATTTTGTTTACCTGTTTCCTAGAACTGGATTGCCCATCATGCATAGTATTAGAGTGATGCTTTGAAGTTTTTGAAGACTCAGGACATAACTGTCTTCTAGACCTGTGGACTGTTCTGCTTACTATTAACCTGTGGTTGCTTAAGTCAATTTCCTCATTTTGGGTTGCCTGCTGTGGGAGCAGTTGTGGATCTTCAGTTTCTATGTCTGGCTCAAAAATATGTGGTTGTCGCTTCAGTTTCATTGACTCACAGTCTTTCCTTAATATCTGTGTTATATATTTACTTGTTACATTTTCTTTTCCATAGACGTCCACAGCATTTTTTATTACACTTAAACCATTATTTGACACCTGACACATTGTACTGTTTGACAGTTTACTTTCATTTAAGCTCACAATTGATTTTCCATTAGAAGAGAAATATTTTGTTATATTTTCAGAGCAGTCAGTATTTTTTTCTTGCACAGGTCTGGAGCTCTTCTGATTTAAATTTCTAGCATATATTTGAATGTTACTATTAGATCTCTTTTTAGTAGTTGGATCCAAATTCAGTTTGTCATTTTGGATTATACTGGTTTTATATGAAAGCAATTTAGATTCTGTTACACGCTGTTTTCTTTTCTGCTTGTCAAGCACTGAAATATCTTTGTTCATTGGTGACAATCTATTTTTGAAAACTGGTATGAATTTAGGGGTGATATTACTTTGGGAGCTAAGATTTGAGATAAGAACTTGAGTGTTTCCTGTGTCTGCCTTTGATTCTTTCAAATGTCGCTTGTGAGACAGAAATTGCTTTGCACTTTGAAAGGACTCTGGCTGGTGTTGCAGAACTGAGAAAGTGTCTGGCTGCAGCTGGCTGATGGAATGCTCCACCGTGTGGTCTCTTGCTACTGAACATGTGAGAAGACGTGGAGCTGGGACAGGCTTTCTGGAACTGACTTGCATCACAGAAGCCCTGAACAGTCTTTTAGTGGTCAAATTGGGTGGCTTGACTTTGGTTTCCTGCAACGATAGAGATTAGGGACATTTTCAAATACAATATCATTAACTGAAATCACCAAAGTAAGAATAGAAAAACGGGGTGTGGTGGGGCACCTCTATAATCCTAGCACTTGAGATACTGAAGCAGGAGGATCATTGTGAGTTTCAGGTGAGCCTGGGCAGCACAGTGAGTTCAAGGCCCACCTGAAGTACATAGTGAGACTCTCCTTCCCCCTTCCCCAAGAACAGAAAGAACATTATGGTCTATAGAACCGCTGAATAAAAACTATAAATGAGCATCACAGTGCAATATGTACAATTTCTCACAGTTTTGTATCCATCCTTTCAGGGTAATACACAAGCCAGAACAATTTGTTTTTCTCTCCATATTAGGTTCAGTTGTTGAATGGAGTTGAGAGAAGGCAAGGAGGGTCACTGGGTGATCAGAATTGTGAACAGGCACAGGTAAGAAACTGACCCAATTAACTATTAGGTTAGCAAGTGACATAAAAAGTTTAGTGGAGTAAAATTCCATACAATAGGACTTTAACAGTTAAACTTTGGGATGGCTCTACAGAGTACAGACCTGGAAAGAGTTGTTCTTTTGAAGACCCTTGTACCAACTATGGTTAACCTTTTAGAGACTGAGTGCCCAAACTGCAACCCAAGACCCATTTATTTATCACAAAATACCAATGCTGAAATTAAATCTGAATACTAAAGTTTTAGTTTAGAAAAAACAGCTGTTATGCAAAGCCTGGCTCCTGGGGAAATCTAGATCATGTGCCAAAAGAGAGGGGTCCTGCATGGCTGCTGTAGCACATATGTCCTAGGTTTGCCATCACTGCCTTACACAGAGCTGGTAAGAAAGCTAAAAACAGAAGAAACCTTGTATGCCATCTTGTATACCATATTTGTCAAGATACCATAAGCGCAGAGGCTACCACCATCAAACCAGGTCAAGAAGTGTAGGCACCCCACTATGCCTAAGAGTTTGGTAGATGGGTGTTCAACAACACTCCGTTCCACTCTTCTCCTGGTGGTCCTCTCAACTAGAGCCTGAAATTTCGAAGTGATATTTTCTCCTTTGAAGTTAGGTTTTGGTTTCGGCAAGCTAATTAGCTACACAGTGTCTGGAAGGAGGAAATAAGGAAAACCCATATTGTGCCAAACAGCTTAATTATGAATGCCTTCTTTGAATTTCAGTTGCAGTTAGCGGAAGCTCATGTGCCTACTCACCAGCTTCGTAAATGGCCAGAGCAGACAGAACTTCCTGTGAGCACTCTTCTGCTACAGGCCCTACAAAGTAGCGATAGCTGGCCACCCACACTGCCCTCGCATTTTTTTTTTTTATTTAAAATGGTGGGCAGAATTTATTTTCAGAAAAAGGGTACAAGTTATACAGAATTTCAGAAAAAAAGATAAACAGTAGGAAATCACTAGTTAATGGATTACATATTGTCATCTTAGAAATATTTGTTCAAGTTACAAAATTAAAGCATATAAAGTGGACATTCAAACAGTGAGACTGCAAACAGTTCTGTTCAATGATCCAACAAAATTCAGTAATATCATTGTCTATCTTATATACTTAAATATACATGCAGTTATATCGTTTAGAGCACTTTCTTTTCCTCTCTTTTGTACAATGGCTATTACACATTTTGGGTTTTATTACTCCCACAGTTCTTATTACTTTTTTGGAAGAGAGTAAAACCAAATGTGACCTAACAGAACAGAGTTGATTAAATCAAAAGGGTGGACATAATAGATAATGTAAAAACATAATACAAAGTGATCAACAATGGTTACCATAATGCCTCCCGCTATCTCAAATAGAATTGACTATATCATTAGTTATAATAAAATTGAACAAAACCAACAGAACCAAAACATTGGAGACATTACAGATCTTCAAAAGTAGATAATAGTCAACCAGAATGGGCGTCATAATGAATCCCACTATCTTCACAGCTGTTGCCTAAATTTTCAAACCTGGTACTATCAAGCAAAACAGAATAGAGGAACATCAGTCAAAACAAGATGGTGAGAGCAATACAGGGCTTCAAATCAAGTTAATAGAAAATCAAAATGGGTTACTATAATATATCCTGCTATTTTTTAATTTATTTTTCCCTTAATTAAAAGGATAAAAATAAAAAAGTAAATAATAAAATGGAGATTGAGATAAAAGAGGGCATAACAACAAAACAGCACAGATCAAAACATAACCATGTAAGCAAAATAGTGTTTCACCACAAGAATAATCCTCACATAGAAGTAGTTACCATATTGTCTCTTTCCTTGAAATCTTTGAGTATAACTTCGTATACTGTAGCATCAAATATATCAAAACAATGTAAAACCATTCAAGAGAATGACAGTATTGCAGGGTATTTAGAATCAACTAACAGAAAATAAACAATGGTTTCTGTATAATCTCCTTGTCTATAAAAGTTTTGTTTATACAATCACATATAATAAAATCCAATAAGATACAACATGTTAAGACCTATGGAAACAGAAGAACAAAAGCTTGATGGAACTTCAAAACAAGATGATATTAAATCAGCATTACCTATTATGATGTCATTTTCTCCAAAATAGCTGTTCCTATCATCCAATCTACTCTGCCTCATTTCTGTTGAGCTCTTTTTCTGTCATTAGTTGTCAGTTTGTCTTCTTCACTTTGTTTTCTGCTCCATTCATTGTGGCCTCTCTGCCACTATTTCTGGATTCTTCATATTTTTCTTTTTTAGAATATCCTGCAGTATTCTCTGTAGAGTTGAATTGGTGGTTGCAAATTCCTCTAGTTCCTCTTTATCCTGGAAGCACCTTGTTTTTCCATCAATTTCTAGGGACAGTTGTGCAGGATATATCAATGTTGGCTGGAGGTTATTATCTTTCAACGCTTGAATTACTTCCCCCCACACTGTTCATGATTTGATGGTTTGTGCCGAAAAGTCTGCTGTAATTCTGATGGGTGTTCCCTTGTAAGTGATCTGTTTCTTGTCTCTGACGTCTTTAAATATTCTGTTCTTATATTGGATTTCTGGAATTTTGATTATTATATGCCTGGGTGTAGCTCTGTTTGGGTTGTAGGTAGCTGGGGTCCTGTATGCCTCATACATCTGAGTATCTTTACCTTTTGCTAAATTAGGAAAATTCTCCTGGATTATTTCTGCAAGTAGCTTTTTTGGTTCATTTGTTTGTGTCCCTACCTCTTCTTTTATGTTCTTAAGTTATAGATCCTCTTATCATCTTCTAGTCTTTGTATTATTGCTGCGTGTGTCTTTGTTATTTTTAAGAGTTTTTCATTTCATGCTCCCATATTACAAATCTGCCCTCCAGTTCAGATAATCTATCCTTAGTTTCTTTCAAGCTGTTATGCCAGTTTTTGATAGAGTTTTTAGTTTCCTGGTAATCTCTTTGAACCTGCTTCATGTATTCTATGTTTTCTCTATTTTCTCCATCAACAATTCTCCCCTTTTTTTCTGTTCTTCCATTCCACCATCTGTTTTTTCTTGGGTGGTGCTTAGCATTTCTCTATTCTGTTTATGTCTTGCTTCAGGTCATTAATAACTTCATTCCTGAACTCGTCTATGAGGCTCTGGAGATAGCGCATTATGTCTATTGGTGCCGTGTCTGCTATTGCCTGTTTCTCAGGATTGGGGGCTGAGGAGCCTTTCTTGTTGCTCCCTCCTCCCATATTCTTTGTTCCTTATATACAAGCGTATATAGGAGGCCCAGCTTCCTTCCCTGTCGGCCACAGTCTGTTTGAATTGCACCGGCTAGGTGTTCCTGCCCACTGCAGTGCACCAGGGAGTTACGGACTGGGCAGCCTATGTGGTGCCCACCCCTCCAGGTCAACCTACCGAAGGCTTCACCGCTAGGGTGCACCTCCAGGCGCTGGGACCTGGGTTGTGCTAGCCTACTGGGTCTCAGCCAGCAGCGTCACGTAGGGTAGGCACTGCTCACCAAACCCGCTTGAGAGGGGGATATGTGACTGAAGTCACTACAGTGCCCTGTTCTGGCAAGTCTGCCCGGTCCCAGAATGTCCTCTGTTGGAGCCTCCTAGACCGTGGAAGAGTCCCAGTTTCCCTCACTCATTACAGGTTGATGCACGGCTCCCCGCCCGACCCGCTCTCAACTCCGTTCACCAATTCCTGTTCTCAGAGCTTTCATGAGTCTCTCTCCCTGCTGAGCCGATTCAGACACAGCAGCGGTGGCAGGAAACCCAAATTGAGGCTTTCAATGGTGCGGGCTCCAGCTTCCATGCTGAGGCTTTATCTGTTCCTGTTACAGCACCAGGATTGCATTCCCAATTGGTTTCTCTCAGCCCAGTTTGTTCTTGGGTCAGCAGGGTATATCTCCTCTTGCTTAGGATTCCTCACTCCGCACCATTCCTGGATTCTAAGCTGGGTATCTCAGAGAGCCTCCGTAGCTGCTGCTATCTGTCTGCCATATTCTCCTGGAAGTCCACTGCCCTCACATTTGCATGCCGCCTAAGCATGCAGATGTGGCCATGAGAAGAACCCTTCAATCTAACTGAAACTCTGTCCTAAGATACTGACAGAAGTGACTCAGTCGCCTTAATGTGTCCACATTACATGTTTTTCTATTTCATGAAGAATGAATTCAAGAACTTAGGTAAATTTGATTATAAAAAAGGGGAAACCAATCCATTCTTGGACCTTTTGGTTTCATAAACTGTTGTAACATTTGAACAACATTACTAACAGAAAAACTCTAGACAGACTCATATAAGGATAAATTACTTATAATGACATAAAAGTGTGTGTTAAGTATGCATATCTTGTATCTGAAATATGCTTACATTTATACCCTATTCCTTTTTCTCTGACTCAGAAATATACATATAGTGAAAATAGTTTTCAAGAGTTTGTTTTGCCTAGCCTCTCAATATATTACTTACTTATTCTTTCAATGTTTAAAATACTATAAACAGCCCAAAGGGGAAAACCTCTAGGTTTACATTCAAAATTTATAAAAGATTGCAA